CCTTTGAAGCTCTAACACCCTGTCACCAGGTGGTTAGATCTGTTACTAGGTATGTGAGCCCAGGAGTCTGTTTACTTTTCTTGTATGGATTCAGCTCAGGTGTCCAGGTAGTCATTCACCATGTGTGCGCTGCAGGCTCTCACCTACGGTCCTAGACAGGCAGGAGTGATTGGAGTAGGCACAGGTATCTGACTGCAGTATGGGGTCACGTGCTGAGCAAGGCAGGGGACTGACAGCTGTCCCTGTTCCCTAGAGTGTGTAGGTGGGTGGGTTTTTTAACCAGACTATGCTGTTGGCTGTCGGGACTGGAAGGCACCACTTATTCTTGGACCCCTTTCACAGGAGGCTAGGTGGCGTAGGTAGAGTCATCAGTCATCAGGCCCCTGATGTGGGTAGGTGAGGGCGCTGCTTAATGGGTAGAGCAGTGTCAAATGTTACAAGCCTGCTACTCCACTATACAGCGGATACAGTGAAGTTAGGCTTAAGTTGCATACCTTGTTGTACTGTGCTAATGAGAGCCTATGCCGTTGAAATGAGCCCACACTAGGTCTATGTGGGGGGCGGGGGAAGGCATTCAAAGTCCATGGACCCGTTAAGCCTGTGCCTAGGCAAAGGAGCTGTGCCTGCCCTGAGTTCCCGGCTTAGGGGAGCTGGCAGATTATTTTTTCCTGTTTGTTAATTTGTTCCCTCTCCAAGGCCAAGAGATTGGTTCAGGGCATGTGATGAGTCCTACTTCCGGCCCACAGGATGTGGCAATTGCTGAAGCTGGCCCAACCTGGTGCAGAGTGGGGAGGGAGCAGGTAAATGAGAGAGAGGTTCTTCCCAAACGGTGTGGTTTTTGATCCGTGAGGTAGGTTAAACACATTTACTTATCTTTTGCTGATACAGCACCACTTTTCACTGGATATGGAGGCCTGAGCAGAGTCTCTGCTGCTTGGTCTCTCCTGATGTGGAAAACACATCCCGAACGCCACTGCCTGCCTCACCACGCATGCCAGCCAATGTGTCCACAGAGTGCCAGCTGCCGTTGGGTCAGGTCTGGCAATTCCTCGCTGCTTCTGAACCATCTCTCCCTCCCCTTGCCACTCGGTCTGATTCCTCAACTTTGCCTTTGATACTCAGAGCTCCTAGACTGTCATATATATAATCAATTCAATTGTTTTTTTGGGGACTTTGTTGTAAGAGGGACCACCAGAAGCATCTGACTACTCAGCCATCTTGGCCCTGCCTCTATCATTAATTCTCATTAATTATAGAGAAATAAGACTTTTCCAGAAAGAACCCAAAGATGAAACATGTTTTCCTTTCCAGTTAGCTACATTTCCTCTGTGGAAATTTTCCTAAAGATGCTTCCAGTCATCTATGGTAATAAGAGTAGGTCAAAGGAGAAACCATAAATAGCTTTAAAGTGGGAAGTTTTACAGTTACCAAATCTTATGCAATAGAAGTTCCACAATTTCCCACATATGCAGAGATTAACCTCAAATACAGAGTCATGAGGAGTGTTTTTCCCTTCTTTGTTCTAGGGTGTATCACTTGAAGTCGTCCACATGGAATAGCCATAAAAATTCTCAGTGGCAGAATGGAATGTAAACGTGTGTGACATGTGCCTGACTGCATACCTAGATCAGAAGCCCATCAGTACTTAAACAATAGTTAAATATGGGCAGGTTTCATGAATTAGATTCTTCTCATTAGGCACAAAGAAAATCTTTTGTCATTTTAAGTAAAACCCCATGTCTAGCCTCTTACTTGGGTATTTAACACGTATTTAATGTCTTTGTGAAATGAGAAGAGGATTTTCATTTTTCACACTACTACACTTATATTATCTAGTATTTTACTTCTAATCTAGCACTTAATGATAAATTAATAGACTTAATGAAGTATAAACAGAATCTTTATACATTTTCTGATAACTTCCCGTTTATACTCCTTCTATAAACTGCAAGCATTTGAAGCTGATTGATCAAGATATTTATATGTGGCATTATAATCAAATCGTAAAATCTTAAACTTACAAAGTGGAAATTGTTTAAAAATATCTCAACTAGAACCCAAATTAATGATTCTTTTTCTGTTTATAGACATTAGATCTTATTTGTTTTGCAAAATACAGAAATATACACAGAGAAAAATGATAAATAAGCACAGTTCTACCATAAGCTTGCTGAATCATTTACTTGGCGGTACACAAAAGAATACTTGAACTAGTTTCCCTTCCTTTAATCTCTGCTGTATTATGAAGTAACAGATTATAAAGGAAATCCTTATTATGAATTAATGAGGAAGAGTAAATAAATTTATGTTGGCATAAAAACCAGATGTATCTTATCTCCCAAAGTACTGCTGCCTTAGAATGAGTTTATACACTGGCATTTTGAATTCTTTTTATTTTTTAAATCCATTTTGTGTTTCTTTTAAATCGCTAAATCAGACATTCTCGGCCTGGAAATCGTGTTAATAATCAAAAACAACATCACTTTCTGCACACCTGCCTCCTGTCCACTTACAGACCCTGCTCATTTCTGTTACCATTTTTTTCTCTGATTCTGTTTTTCTCCTTCATAACCTTTGTACTCAGCACAATTCCCCAAGTCCCTTTTGCAAACAAACACATCCTTATTGCTATAGCAGCTACTTAACCTAGATGCAGAAGTAGCTGTGTTAGGTATACTGTAATGAAAAGGCAAGACGTGTATCTGGGAGGATTTATGTGTTTATTTAAAATGCTTTTAACTTTATATAGAGTTGCTGTTAGTTACTTTTTTATAACACTCCACACGAAGAACTATGCTAGATTGAAAAGGTGTAAAGCAGTGGCAACGGGCCACACCACAAAAGGAAGTAGGTTGCTTTTATCCAAAGTATGGATAAAAGAAAGTAGGTTTTCAAGTGAATAGATCTTTTATGCCTACAAAAAGGAAGAGGTTTGGTCTGAAGCAAGGTGCCACAGTTGTAGAAAAGTCTCTTTTATAAGACTAAGTACTCAAAAAAACATTATGTAGCCTGTTCTAGATTGTTTACATTTCTAATTTGCTGCCTGTAATTTACTCAAAATATATGCCCATAATCTAATTTACTCAAAATATATGCCTTTAAATATAACTCAAGGTACACTAATTCTTGGGCATTTTATCATGGGAGACTAGATTTCATATAAATATCAGAAATTATTCCACAGACCCTTATTGCAATCTGAAGGGGTGGAAACTTAGATACAAAAGAATCTAAAAAACACAGCAAATTTCTTCAAATCAATTCTGAACCAGAATATCTTGGTAAAGCTCTGGCAGAAGGGGAACAACCAGGGGCTTTGTAAAAACCACACATTCTCTACAACGAGAAATACCGTGCCCTAGGAAAGCTTGTCTCCCCACCCAGTCTGCCCCATCCTTAAAACATGCCATGGAAAGGGAGTAGCTGTTACTCATGGGAGTGCTTGCTTCCCTCAAATGTGCTAGGAGGAAGAAAACCACTGACACAGAAGAAGCAAAGTAGTTTTTTAAAGGTTAAGTTCTAAGTCCCATATAACCTCCACTAGGAACACAATTACGTGATTCATAGCTAAATTCCTTTTTTGCCCAGTTAGAGCCACATGTTGTCTCTTGCCATTCCTTCAGAATGTTAAGAAAAACACTAGCTTTTGAAAAATGAAAACAGAGCAGATTCCATTTTTCTGTCTTACACAGAAGGTATTGGCTAGTTTTATCATCTCTTGATGACCCAGAAAATTAATTTAGGTGTGGGGCCACATGATAGGTATTGTTTGTTTGTTACTTGAGCCTCAAAGACTATATGCACAGATGCATCACTAAAGTAATAAGAATGCATACATTTTGGAACTTAAATCTTCAAATGAGTTTAGTCTTCAAAAGAGTTACTTTATGAGAATTGTCCACTTGTTTTGGTGGTGCTCCATATATTTCAGAGATTCTTCTTTTGTATTAAACTTCTAAGAAAATCTATTTCATTATAGTACAGCAATTCCTTGTATTAAGAGAAAACCTCAATTTTTGATTCAACTTATTAACTGTCATATGAACTGTCTTAGGACATGTTATCACAAGGAACCAGTCCCTGGAGAAGGACATCATGTTTGGTAAAGTAGAGGGTCAGGGGAAAAGAGGAAGACCCTCAATGAGATGGATTGACACAGTGGCTGTAACAATGGGCTGAAGCATAACAATGATTATGACGGATGATGCACGACCGGGCAGTGTTTCATTCTGTTGTGCATAGGGTCGCTTTGAGTCAGAACAGACTTGATGGCACCTAACAACACATATGAACGTACACAGACAGGCTTCGTATAAAATCTGAAGAAAACTGTAGTGGTAATTCACAATGGCTCTTTCAGTTTCCCCAGTTAAACCATTTCTGTGTTGGTCTACAAAGTTTAAAAATCTGTTCAACTTTGACTAATTATGGGAGGAACGTTGTCACTTAAAGGCATCAAATAGCCACTTGCATTAAAAATGTGCTCTTGGCATTTCAGAACATTTCATGGAAGGATCATTACTGCAGTAGATACTGTTGGTGCCCCATCCGGATCCTCTCACCAGGCCAGTGCACATCCGCCAGCTATTGAGAGCATTGGCTGCTAAGGGCCCAGCGCTGCCTCCTTCTCCAGAGAAATGCCCTTGTCCAAAGGGAGCCACCTCACTTGGAACTGTCTGGGAGGCTGTCTTTTCCCTCTGGGAGAGCTCCCAGCCAATGAGTGACTGACTGACCAAAAACTTTGCCTCTGTGAAGCTATTCACGCTCCAGATCACTCTGTGGGATGAGGTGGAAGCTAGGCTTCCACTGAGCCCACCTCTCTGCCTAGATTTATCTCCTGCTCTATTCTGTTTCTCTCTCTCGCTTCCAGGTTTCGACTGAGAACACTCCTTCAATAAATCAAGTGACGAAGTCAGTCCATTGAAAGCTCTATACCCACAAATTCAACCTAAGACAATTAGGATAATATAATAAGAGTTGTTTAAACTCTGAACCAATACCTTGACAGGATGAAGATTTGTGGTGGTGATAATTTTGTGCAGTGGGCCTGCCAACTTTGGGGGCAGTTTTGACTCTTTATCCAGTCCCTGGGGTTTAGTGTAATAATCCAGTCTCTCTCGAGGAAAGAAATTGTTGATTACAGTCACACAATCATGTTGACCTTTTAATAGAAAAATAGACAACTTGTTACTTTATTATAAAAAAAAAAGTTTTTTTTTTAGATTTTTATTAGGTTGCTCTGTTTTCTTGTGAGGTAAACATGCATCAATATTTTAATTTTCAGAAAATGAGAACAGAGGAGGAGAAGGAGAGGTAAGGTATTTTAGAGAACATTTACAAGCATGCCTTATAAAGTGGTGAAATAATTTCATTTTAAAGACAACAGAATCCACCATACATATGAAGATTGTCTGGATTACAAAAATGCAGTGTTCGACTTGAAACTGACCATTTAAATATTTTACAAAAGTTGCTTATAATTTAAAGGTCTCGTCTTCCACCCCTACACAAATGATGCTCATGCTTCCCTAATCATATCTGGCTTTATTTACACAAAATTTTAATTTAGCCGATACAAAGGTTGATTATTATTATTAAGCTAATTCCTCCCACCCCCCTGAATTTGAGAAAAGCCTGGCCTCTGTGAAATGAATTAGAGAAAAAGCTTTTGCTCCACAAAGCTTGGAATCCACATAATGGCTCCTCATAGATCCCTAAGCCATCTCTGGAATTGGAAATGGTTCTATGAGAGCAAAACCTTCCCTGGAGAAAGTTGGTAGCCTGGATATGTGGTGCTGTTGCCTCCCTCTCCCCAGGTCCCTCTCAACTTCCTCTCTGAAGCAAGGAATTGGCCACTCTGGGAAAGCAGGCAGGGTATATTGGAGGACGCAGGCTCTTCCAGGACCTCTGGAGTAGAGACTTCTTCCTCCTCTCTGCCTGACAAGGGCCAAGGGACCAGTGGCAGAGAGTCCTAGGGAGAGGACCCAGATGCCGTAGCTCCTGGAGAATGGTCTGCCCTAAGCGAACCATGTATTTCCTGCCCACTTGAGCATGGTCCTGGGAGTGTCTGCTTGATCCTGCTGAAAACAGATGACTTGCAGAGGGACTGTGGGCTGGATGGATGCTGGTACTTGAGGCTGGCGTAGAGCTCTGATTGCCCTTGGGAGTTCTGGGAGTACCTGGGAGTGAAGTGGCTTTCTCCTGGTACATTAGCAGAGGACTAAAGGTGTGCTGGTTTCCAGACCCCAGATACACAGGTATAAAGACTGTGGCACCTCCTATCATTGCTAGCAGGATACTGTTCCATGACCCTATCAGCTTTACCTAACCACCTAGGAGATCAGAGGCACCCAAGGAGACCCAGCAACTTGGAAGACTAAGCAATGCCTCCAACAAATGGCTTCTTCAGTTGGAAGCCTACAGACAGCATTAACCATGATAACAGCAACAACAAACACAAGCAACAAATAAGTGCATTTAAATTAAGTAGATTCAATTAGAGCATGTAAAATGACATTCTAGAACCATAGAAAGATTCAAATTTTAAAAACTAATAGGCATACTGAAAGATGTAATCTTGGTTACCACTGAAAACTAATACTAATGTAGAAGATGAAGTGGATGAAATACCTGAAAACAGAAAAATTTAGAGACAAAAATCATTATGGAAGACATAAAAGAGCTGAAGGACAGATCCAGGCAATCAAACAGTGAAAAATATGAGAAATTACAGAAGGAAAAAAAGGAATGGATGGAGAAGTAATCACTATTGCAATCACTAGATTTGAATCTTCTAGATTGAAAGAGCTCTTTAAGTCCTAGGCAGGATTAACGGGAAAATGCACACACATATACACACACATAACTGGAAGCATTCTGAATTTCAAAGATAAACCTGAAAAATCAAACAATCTCCAGAATGAAAAATAAGAAGTTTACAAAGGAAAAGAAATCAAATTCTCAATTGCCAACCAGATTTAGAAGACTGTGGATTTAGAAATTCTACATGGAACTGAGAAGAAAGAATACTGACTCTGTGATACAAGAATCACGAAGCTGGCCAAGATATGACTCACTTTTCAGAGAGAAAGATATTTTTGGTTATGAGGGGTTTTAAAGAATATACCACTGACATAAGCCATCTGAGAAAGGTTGATAACCAAAACTTAAATGAGAACAGAGATCTCAAGAGGGAAAGCAATCTGGACTTACGTTAAAATTAAAAATACAAGTATTCTTTGTCTTAGCAATTTCACTTCTGGGAATTTGTTTTACAGAAGTTAAAGCACTAATGTGAAAATAAAAGCAAGAATGATCATTAAGTTATCTATACTGGAATCGTTAAAAAAATTTATAAAATCCATCAGTAGGGGAGAGCTGAATGAACTGTACTACAACTGTATCATGGAATATTACGTCGCTATTAAAATGACTGAATTCATTTACAACTACTGAGATGGAAGGGAATTCCCATGATGTACTGCTAAGTGAAGAAAACAAGTTACAAGGAATATTTATTATATTATTTCTTAAAAGTGACAAAAATCTTCTACATATGTATACATATGTGCATGTACTGATTAGCTTGTGAGGAACAAAGGTGGAGAACATGTTTAAAAAAAGACTATATGCAAAATACAAATATATGTCAACTGAAAGGGTATAATCTACATCTATGAAATTATTTTAAATAGATTAAAGTGCAATGAAAACATCGCTGATTTTAGGATGGAATTGTGGACAATTTCTCCTTTAATATTTTTAAAAAAAATATAGTAGTATTAATAAAAAGGAAAGAAAAGAAAAGGGTATTCTGTATTGTGGTTGAAACAACAGGCTTCTCTATCTCCAGCCATGTGATCCTGGGAAAGTTACTTACTTGACTATCTGACTTCTGTTTTGTTATGCCATGGACAGAAAGAAAATTTGTAGAGTTAAATAGAACTTCAGAGATCATTTAATTCCCTTTCTTTACGGTACGGATCAGAAATCTGAGGCCTGTGAAGGTGAAGGGACTTGGCCAAAATCCCATAACTAATTAGCAGGCGACATGGTGTTTTTTCTTTTCTGCCTAAACTGACACCCTCAAAATTAGCTTAGAGGTGAACTGAGGGCAACCACAGAGCCCCAAACTGTAGGAGATAAAACATTTCTCTGAAGCTTGCACAGCAATGCCATACCTTTCTCAAATCCTCCTGAAACTGAGTTAAAGTAACATAAGAATATTTGCTCACATAGCTGTCATGACTCTTTGAATGTCTCCCCTAATAACTGGTAGCCACTATTACTAGTTTCAGGATAATTTCGTAATAAAATGTAAAACAATATATATAGTTACCACCCCCATACTTGACTAATTACCACATGTATCTTAGTTTAAATGTAATTTCTCTCAAAACACCCTTGGAATGGGATACAAGAGTCTTCTATGTATCTCTATGGAACCCTTAAATTCTCCCTTGGGGTATATTTTTACACTGTTATTGTTATTAGCTTCTAAGTGCCATGAAGGCATGGACAACATCTGTCTTGTTCACCACTATAACCAATACACCTTGAATGATGTGTGGTATATAGGTGGTGAAATTAAGTATTTGTTTAATGAATTATTAGGCCCACAAGGCCACACCGGACTCCCAATACATCACAGCTTTTTCTATCTCTGCCCTTCTACCAGTGGACCCTCTTAACTGTCAGCTCAGTGGGGCTGTAATACCAATGATCAAGTATTCACTCCCACTCTCCTCTATGCCCCTACATTATGTCAAGTACCAGGTTTAGCATGACGAGAATTATTATACACACAAAATAAATGTTTGTGGGTGATGATGATAATGAAAGCACCTGTATATTAATCTTAAGACTCTTTCCTAAGAAAGAATTGTATTGTTTTAGTTATAATTAACAATAGTAGCTGTTACCATTTATTTAGTGCTACATGTAAGTTCTTTAAGTCTATTAATCATATCAATGACCATGTAACCATTTACAATGAGGAAACTAAAGACCAGAATCATTAAGAAACCTGCTATTAAGCTGCACAGCCAGAATTTCAACCCAGGATTGCTGACTGCATAGTCAACAACTGTAGATTCTATATTAAACTAATTCCCTTACACAGCTAAAATATACTTGTTCAAAGCATTTGACTACAACTGAAATGGCCGCACCATATCTCACAAAGTGGAAATTCAAAGCAGCTTGCTCATTTTCTCCAAAGAGTCATTAAGTGTTTCATTGAACTAGGCAAAACCTAGCATGATTTTTTAAAAATAATATGACAGTGTTTGCGTTGTGAAAAGCAAAGTGGTATTTTTGCACAATGAAAAACTGGGGTATAAACTAATGTAGAACTGTAGTAAAAACTCACCCACAAAAGCTGCCATCTGAGCTGCTGTTCTTCCCACAGAATTGACAACGTCTGTCTCAGCACCAGCCTCCAGCATTACCCACACGATGTCTTTATAACCTGGAGTTATTAATATGTGTTATTATTAAGGAATACATAATTCAAACACTCTCCCTTGTAAATTATCTGTAGCTTTTTTTTTCTCATTTAATTTTATGTTTCCACTTTTCGGATATTTTCATTTTTTCTAAAATATGAATCATAGTTACAGTAAACAGTAAAATGTTATAGAATCCACACAGAAACTAGCTTTATGTCCTGGAAAACACACTGGGCAATATAAAAATGGTATGAAATTGAATATCATTTTTTTAAGCAAAATGAAATATGTTTATATTTTCTAATGATAATGCTTAGTATAAAATCAAAACAAAAAAGAAAATAACAAAAACAAAGACAGAAGAGAGAAAATGAATAGAAGTTGCCCCTTAATATCTACTAACCACTTCATCTCTTACACGTATAGGTCTTGAAATAACTATTCTTAACAGTTGGTTATCTATCTTTTCAGACTTTTTTGTCTATCTAAACATACCTAGTTATTCTATTCACACTGTTTCATTAATGGAATCATAACAAATATTTTGCTGTTAGAAACTAGACTTAGTGAACAGCATTTTCCATTCATCTTTGCAAACTTCAACTATGACTTCCTTAGGAACACTTCTTGGAAAACATCTGCTGAACCAAAGGTTATGCATATCTTAAATTCATTTTACCAGGCTGCCATCCAGCAAGATTGTACTGATGAGCACTCCCCAAAATAGCACAAAGAAGCTCTTGGGCCAGTCCTGGGCAAACCTTTGCTAACCCAAGTGAAAAATGATTGTTTAATGTTCTGGTTTGCATTTTGTTGATTATTGGTGAGCATGTTTCATATGTTTATCAGCTAGTTGTGTTTCTTTGGTAAACAATTTATTTATATTCTCTGCTGCCTAATTTTCAATTGCAGTATTTGTCTTTTTCTGACTGACTTATAAGAACTCTTCATATATGAGGATATAAACGCTTTAAGATATGCCATAAATATTTTCCTCAGTCTTTCATTTGTATTTTAACTCTATTTATGGTATATGCCATAGATGAAAATGTTAATATTTTATGTTATCAAATTGGTCAATGTTGTCCTTTTTGAATTCTGTTTTATTTCATGCTAAGAAATGCTTTCTCATTCCAGGATTACAGAAATATAGATTATTGCTTTTAAATATGAGAATAATATATTATGTCTTTATTTTCTTTATAAAAAAAAAATTGCAACAATTGTACCCATCCACACTTGATTTTAGATAATACAGCTGTTTTTATGCAGCAACTCATAAGCAACATGAGTTAGATTAAGTTTCTAAATGGGTCATCATATTTAGTACATAAATGTTAGTGAAGCAAACTGATAACTCTGTCAGAGAAGTTAAGAGAACAAAGAAGTTTTTATATTGTTTCAAAATATAACAACAATAGAAAAAACAAAGGGGCAAAATTGAAAGAATAATATATCCAGCTCCTCAACTCTTTATAAAATGTATTGTTAACACAAGGAATCAACTGATTTAAATAACTAAAGAAACAGATCCCAAAGCCAACTACATAACATATTTCACATATTATAGGTTTCCAGAAACCAATTCCCATCATTCCTTCCCATAAAAATTGACCTTAAAATTATTAAAATAAAAATGCATTTAATTTATAAATACACACACAGTTACAACAAATTCACATAGGTAACAAGTATTAATAAATACAGTAAATGCTAAAACTTCACCAGAAAGTGCAGCAAACATGAGGGCTGTATATCCATGTTCGTGTTGATGACAATTTACGTCAGCTCCATGTCGCAAAAGTAATTTACACATATCAAGCTTTCCTTTATATGCAGCATGCATTAGAGGAGTCATTCCATTCTTTAACAGAAAGGAAAAAAATGTATTAATCTTACTTATTTACCTTTTTCCCTACCTATATTCCTATAATTTAATTAAAAATATAAAAATGAATTAATAAAATCATCTTCATAATCTGTATAACATTGTTATATTCACTTCTCCACTCAGATTGTCCATAAACTACAGAGGAAAAGATAGTTCTAATACCTGAATTTCTTTACAAACCAACAAACAGATCCAGAAAATACTTGCTCAACCTCACATGACTAGGACGTGGCCAGGGCAGGGACCAGAACCCAGATTTTCTAGGGTTCTCTTTACCAAGCATACTTAGCTCCTAGAGAAACAAATGGATAAACAAATACAGAAACATAAGGGGAAAAAAATCTAAAAAAAAAAAATCCCTCAAAACAAATAGAATGCCTGTCAAAGGGAAATCTGAATAAAACATGATATATAATTACACGGAATATTATGAAGATATTAAGTAAATGAATTCATCTGTATCTACTGAATTGGAGGAAATGTCCATGAATTACTACCAATAAGAAAAAGAAGGCTCAGGAAATGTATATTATAATGGTCTCATTTTTGTTTTTTAAGCAGTGAGCTCAAAAAATCACATATGCATTGGTGGGCAACCAATGTCACAAAACAATATGTGTATGAATTATTTAATGAGAAACTAGTTTGCTCTCTAAACCTTCATCTAAAATACAATAAAAAAAACCACATATGTAGGATATATATTATATATATGTGTGTGCACACATTATACAATTATACATACGTATACATATACACAGAAACTCTGGTGGCGTAGTGGTTGGGAGCTACAGCTGCTAATATAAACGTCTGCAGTTTGAATACACCAGCGCTCCTTGGAAACTGCATGGGGCGGTTCTACTCTGTCCTATAGGGTCGCTATGAGTCAGAATCGACTCGATGATGATGGGTTTGGGTTTTTTTTTTTTAATATACATATACATAAAATTATATAATATGATTGTATAAACATAGAGAAAACTTTGGTAGTATGCACATCATTTGGTTTCCATATGTTTTATGCATATACAATGAAATATTCAACCTTATATGTACTGGGTACCTAATACTATTTGGTGGATAAATGAGTGAGCTGTTCCTTGTAAACAAATTTTCTCAGTAACTCAGGTTAAACTCTATAAGTGCTGCAATGTCAAACTGGTTTTGGATGAAAACATCTCTAAAACATGTACTCCCTTACATAATAAAGCTTAGAATGCTGAGCATAATTTGTTCTTGATGACTCCTGACTATTACTGGGAACATAAGCCATCAGATTGTGACACAGTACCATAACATTCTCAGAGGGTGTGAGGATTACAAAACCAAAAAACCCAAACCCACTGCCGTTGAGTCAATTCCGACTCATAGTAACCCTATAGTCAGAGGAGAACTGCCCCATAGGGTTTCCAAGGAGCGGCTGATGGATTCTAACTGCTGAGCTTTTGGTCAGCAGCCGTAGCTCTTAACCACCGCACCACCAGGGCTCCTCAAAAATCAAAAAAACCAAACTCGCTGTCATCAAGTCTACTCCGACTCATAGCCACCCTACAGGATGGAGTAGAATTGCCCTATAGGGTTTCCAAGATGAGCCTGGTGGATTAGAACTGTCGACCTTTTGGTTAGTGGCCAAACTCTTAACCACTATGCCACCAGGGTTTACAGGGCTCCTTAGGGAGGCTATATTTTAGGCTGTTGTAGAAGAGGTAACTTAAGGGAGAAGTCCAAGTTTCTTGGGAGTAATAATGCAAAAAAGATTAGGAGATCATAACTCTGAGACTACATGGATGGGGTACTCTTTTGGGGGGAAGTGGGAGGGTGTGGGTAATCATCTACTTGTACAGAGGCAGCCAATGAAGTGTTTTAAGGGAGCAGGAATGGGCTCTGTATTACTTTTTGGACTCCAGAGTTGGAGAGCAAAAATGTGTTCAGAGCAAGACCCGTGTGATAGCTCCTAATGGATAAGATATTCTGTAGATAAGAGGCTAGCATGTAAGTTGTGGGGCAAGGACACAGCACCATTCGAAGGGCTGCACCAAAGAAGCAAACAACTATGTCTGTTACAAACTTTTAGGACCTAGACTTCAGCCCAGGAGTTCAGCATTTTCTATTAATCCAGACATGTGGGCAGACAATCAGCCAACAATCCCATCCAACGACTAGACGTTATCTAGCTCTGTGAGTGAGTCATCTGGAGACTGAAAAACCATCCTCTGTTTAAAAAGCTTTCAACACAGTGTGATAATATGCTTAAGAACAAAGGAGCTGTGCAAAGCTTTTGGATCTTACACTGCAAACTGTCCTCATTCTCTTAAATCTACTTGTTTTAACTCACCTGCGTTAACCACTTCTGCCAATTTACCTGTCTGCCCACCTTGGTTTCCTGCTATTCCCTTTCCTCTTTTTCCCTTTGACTTTATATATTATATGTTCTCAAACAAAATGAAACAGTTCATTAAACTTTTTTTTTTTTTTTTTTTTTTACCTCATCTAAACAGTTGACACGAACATTCTTGTTGGCTAATAGTGTTCCAGCTTCTTGGACAGTACCTTCCAAAAAATGCAAATTAAGGTTATTTATCATTAGAACAGATAAAATCTAATGTCAAAAAATAAACTTTAAAGGTTTATCCTAAGACTACTCAGGTTAGGTTGCCAAGAAACAAAGCATCTAATCCACACTATTTATTCCACAAAGTAATTACCCAGAAGAATAGATTTAAGGACAATAGATTTATAGAAATTAAAATAGCTCCATCTTGTTTTCACTTCCACTGACCTTAGAGTATATTAAATTGGCTACATTTTCCTTTCGGCAGTAATATAATAACCACAAAGCCTAAGATTGTTAATACTGAAACAAAAATTTAAAGAGCATCAAGTTCACCATCTAAAGCTTAAATTCCTGTCAATATAATAATCTGAGTTCTAAATACAGTCAGTATTTATATAATTTGTCACCATGAGGCCTTGTGAATTGATGGCATGTTTATAATAGAATGCTCAGCTTGGAAATGCTTAGTCTGAAGAATACCTTTAAAGCCTGGAACTATAGAAAAGCGTCCTACACTCAGTATTCAGACTACCAACTCAAACTGCAAACCTGAAGGTAAGTTGTCTGTAACTTTAGAAATAAGCTGTAATTGGGCCACAACTGTCAGGTTTTTCCAGTCTTCTGTAAGGAAACAAGTTGTTGCAGGAGAGAATGCTGCCATTAACATCATTAATAAAAGCCAGCCGCATGTTCTGCCAAAAATTTTCTGGTTTGACAGGCAAAAGAACAATGAAATTGCATGTTCTCAGGGAGAAAGGATGAGATAAGCCTCTCCTCTAAAAGGAGATAAAAGAACAGAGCACCCCCCAGCCAGGGGTTCTTTCTTCTCTAAATTTAGAATTATAGTTCAAGACTGTGATGAATTCTGCTAGTCTTCTAGAGTTAAAGGTGGGATAGAGAATACAGATCAGTATGCCTCCTCCCTCCCCAACCCCTCTTCTTAGGTAAATCATTTGAGTGCCTGTACCAAAACGGAGACAGAGATGTCTCGGGAAGAGAGAAACAGCACTTTTGGGAAAATGCGAAGTCAGTGATCTACAAGTCCCTGAAGTTTGACAGCAGCTGTTTTTTTGTTTTGAGGTGAGCAGCAAGAGTTTTATTATATATCGATCTATAGGAGACAGAGTGGAATAGATTCCTCCAAAAACCCATCTCCCCAACTGGAGATCAGCCGAAGGCTTTTATAGGGACAGGATTATGGGTCTTAGAAGTTTGTGTTAGTTCCCCCTCGAGGCGGTCATGTCCCAAATGAGTTCATCTTTTCTTGGGGGTTATCTGGCAACATCCTGGTTTTTCTTGTCCCAAGCTGGGTGCTTTGTTCAGTTTGTCATTCCTATACCGTTACCATTTGTTCTCCACCCTCCAAGGAGGAACATCGGTTAATCTTAAACTTTTTATAGAGACTGGAACAGGAGGGAAAAACAAGATCACGAGACAATGCGGGGGTTAGCAATGGGGAGTAATAATAGTGAGCCGGACCTATGCAGCCTCTTCCAATACCATGAGAATCGTATATGTCAGTTAAAGAAAAAGCTGCCTCCCTGTTTGTTTTTGTTTGTTGTGGTTTTTGTTTCTTGTCTTTTTCTTTGTCTACTTTTTGAAGAGCAGCATGGGGGGAGGGGGATATATTTGGAAGGCAAATGATCACATTTAATGAAAGGCAGATCCCTTGTTAATACATACTCATTACAAAGTTCTTAAACAGAAGGAAAGGAAATTTTTCCTGGACTCTCCATCTGAATACAAAATCAAAGTCGGTAGTGAAGGTAAACATAAAAAAAAGATTCCACGCGTTCACGAGCTGACATCTGAAGAATTTTTATCCAGGGGAAAAAGAAAGAGATGTTTTTCTCTTCTTCTGCTTCTCAATTAAGAAAAGAAGACATATTCAGCCAAGGTTGTTCATGTCCATAAGGCGCAAGACAATGCTGACAAGAATAATCAGCAAAAGCTTGCTCCTGGGAGATGCTCTGGAAATCTACAGTTTTGTAAGTTGGTCTGTATCTTCAGACAAACCTCCAGAATGAAGCTGTCTACATGAGAGATGAAGCCTGAAAGAAAAGGATTGAAGGGGAGAGTCTGCACAGGAGACAGTAAATGCAGCCGAAGTCAGCAGTGTCCATCGGAGGTGTGCTTCCACCAACTTCAGGTACTGCCGAGTGGAGGCCAGGCATTCCCCTAGAACCCAGGATCCCTCACAGTACCCAGCCACCATGACTGCACAGCCTGTACCTCACCCCCATGCTCGGGTCTCACTCCTGAAATTCCTGCAGATCCAACAGTCCCACTGGATGTTTACTCCTGGTTTTGAATTGTCTAAAGAAATAGTGTTTATTGATGGAAATGCAAATAGCAACAGAAACCAAAGCCTTTGCTGGAAAAAGAGAAAAGCGACAAAGATAATGATAAGTATGTGACAGCAGCTATTTTTTATAAATAGTGCATTTTTCTGAAACTGCTCCACCTGAGGGTAGCGGGTGTCTGTCACCAGCTAGATGGCTAAAGAATGAGAGGGGAAAGCCTTTGAACACGTAAGAAGGTACAGATGAAAGCGTATTCATACCTGTGGCTTCTCATCAGAGACTTTCTCAAACACCTGTAGAGAGGAATGAAGAGGACAGAAACTCCCACGCCCCGATTTCAAGTGAGGAAGACGCTTCAGCTGAATTCCATTATCCACTGAGGAATAACTGAAATTAACGTCCACCTAGCCAGGAGATGTTTATGCGGTAAAGGGAGAATACTATAGAGGTTGTGAGCATGTCAAAGCCTGGTGTGTTAGAGGAAAGGGGAAACTTTAAGATCATAAACATTTGCTCACACTGGAGCAAAGGCTGTCATAACTCTATAAAATGTTTAGCCCAATGGCCAATAATTTAAGTTAAATCTGTCAGGGAGCAGTTAAAAAAAAAAGAGGTGTGTGCACATGCACACTCATAAACACACACACCACTCAACAGAGTAAGGTCCATCTTTTGAAATGCAGGGACCAGGATGAGAAAAACTACCTGTAACCGTTTCAGATTCCAGAAAATGAAAACAGATTTTGGAAAATGGATGAGCAAAATACCCCAGAAGGCAAAACTTGTGATGATTTCTAATTTGGTGCTCTCAATTTAATGACATCAGTAGGACTACAGAAGGTCTAGAATAGCAGGGAAATGTGAAACGCATGGCTCATACAGAAGAATTTTCACTCTTTGTCATTCTTTACTACTCTCAAACAATATTTCGCAGTTAAGTTGAAAAGACTATTTTGGGAAAGAAAACTGTTAAATCTGATTTAACAAACTATTAATACAGAGTGATACAGTATGTAAGAAAGGATGTGTAATGAACTTACATTTATCTTCATTGGAGATAAAAATTAATAGAACTATGCTGATGAAAGAAATACTTCATAATTTGTTTCCCTTTTAAGAATGTCTCCAGGTTGCTCAAGTCAAAGAAAACACAACAGAACCTACTTCACTGGGGTAAGACTGAACAATTTAAATGGAGAAACCAATATTTTAGCAGAGAAGAGGTGATGCTAAAAGAGTGATTGACAGTGTCACGGTAATAGTCTCACTCTCTTCTACCACACTACAGCCCTTTCCAAACCACTAGGAAACTGAACAAGACCTGTAAAAGCCCCATCTAGGAAACAGAGATAATAGCATCCATCCCCTAGGGTTCTGAGGAGGACTAAGGACTTGTCCTGACGTAGGGCACATAGCTAGCCCTCAGTGCACGTCAGATGGCTCTTGTAACTTTATAGTCAGGGCAGCACAATATAATTCATTGTGATATTCCTGGTATCTACACTGGACCCATGGGTTCCCTACAAAGACAAGCAGATGTAGCCAAAATAAAAAAGAGCAAAACAAACGTGTGACCTTTTTTCCGCCCAGAAATCTATCAAATATCTAAGAAATTTGGATATGTATAGGTTTAAATCATTATTTAGTAGTATCCTCAAAAAGGGATGTTTTAAGGGATCTATATCAAAGTATTAAATTTTTTTTGACTTGTTAGTATAATTTTCATGTATGGTGCAGTAAATTACTTAATATAGCCCTTCTAGTCATAGTCTTTGTGACTCCCACACAATGATTGGGTGGGACTATGCAAATAGGTATATGGAACCTGTGATGGTTAAGGGTATGTGTCAACTTAGCTGGGTCATGATTTTCAGTGGTTTGGTAGTTATGTAATGATGTAATTTGGCAGCTGTGTAATGATGTAGTCACCCTCCATTTTGTGATGTGCTGTAAATGTTAGCCTCTATGCCTGTGGTTGTGGACCCATTTGGGAGTGAGCTGTCCATTATATTAGTAAGGTAGGATTAGGGTGGGATGTATGTTGAGTTATTGCCTCACTAGAGGGTGTGACTCAAGTCACCACTGTCTCCCCAGTTATCACCCTTATTCAAGTCATGCCCTTACTTAAGTCATACCTTTTATCTTATAAGAGATAAAAGGAGAGAGAAGCGAGCGCTGGGAGGGGGGACCACTACTACCAAGAAGAAGAAGAGCTAGGAGTAGAACACGTCTTTTGGATCCAGGATCCCTGTGCTGAGAACCTCTCCTAACCCAGGAGACAGGAAGCTGTAACACTGGAGAAAGTGTGTGACAGCAAGAAGCGGGAGCAAGTACAGCAGAGAACTGGCAGCAGCAGAGCCAGGAGACCAGTGTGAGATGTCATGGTGGGCTTCCCGGCCCATGAAGCAAGGCAGCTGCAGTGGAGGCGGCTACAGGAGCGAGAGCTGGGTGCCTTCATGAAGGCTGAGGCTTACTGGCACAGTGGGGTACCCCTGGGCACTTACTGGTGGAGCTAAAGAGATTTTTAACACTTGCTTGAGCAGGGCAGAGGCCAGGCTGAGGGGCTGATGGCTGGAGAAAGGGGCCTGCCTGCAGGCATGACTGAGAAGAGGTTGTCCTGATTGAAGAATTGTATACTGAGTCATTTCTGATCCTGAATTGTAACCTGCTACTTCCCTAATAAACTCCATAATCGTATTGTCTTTGAGTTCTGTGTGGTCACTGCAACGAATTATCAAACATAGCAGAGAAATAGAGAATGCTGAGGGAGGGAAGGCTGGTGTCAGAATTGCTAAAATGGTTGCAGAGAAGAGGTACGTCAGACCTCCCCCTCATATAGGAATCAGCCTTGGGCTGCTGATGCTGATAATGATTCTCTCTCTCCCTCTTGAAGTTAGACGAGGAGGTCTGATGCTGTCACCGTGCCATTTATACAGTATGTATAAGTAAATCATTTAAAATATGTAAAAGGTCTTAATTTTAAAAGGATAATATATGAATATAGATTTAGCTACAATTACAAATAGAAATATATTTTTTAAATAGACACTTCTAATAACATTTTGAAACAGTGAATGAGTTTAAGTGTGAAGTTTCTAAAAGCTCTACTACTCTACTTGTATCTATTTTTAGACATTGTAACAAAATGTTCTGAAGCTGTGATCAGGAAGCACTGTATAAAAATTAAAGTATCTAAAAGAGATGTTGTTTTATAAATGAAGACAATAAAGTCCATACCCACTGCCATCAAGTCGATTCTGACTCATAGTGACGCTATAGGACAGGGTAGAACTGCATCATAGGGTATGCAAGGCTGCAAATCTTTGCAAAAGCAGAGTGCCATAACTTTCTCCCGCAGAGCATCTGGTGCGTTCGAACTGCTGACCTTTCAGTAGCAGCCAAGCACTTTAACCACTGCGCCACCAGAGCTCCTTAATAAAGTCCACAGAGACTGCATAACCTGCCCAGTCATACAGTTAATAGAAACTACATATTTTAAGTTAAATTTTTCTTTGAACTCTGTAATAAAGTTGATCATTAGCAAACTAGAATCTTTCTAAACCATGAAGACATTAGATGTAATGTTATTAACTATGCAGAACTTTATAGCAGGATTTTATTTTAATAGGCCAAAATTAGAAACAAATATCCATCAACATGAAAGGATAAGCACATTGTGGTATATCTATACAAAGGAATCTACTCAGGGGAAAAAATGAGAAATGAACTATTGCTACACACAACATGGATGAACCTCAAAATCATGACACTGAGTAAAAGGAGACATGCCAGGAAAAAAAAAAGTACATATTGTATGATTCTATTTATATACAATTCTAGAATAGAGAAATCCAATTAATAGTGACAGAAACCTATCAGTGGTTTCCTGGAGATGGGGGCGGGAGTGAACGACGGATTACAAATGGACTTGAAGAACCTTTTGGGGGTGATGGAACTGTTTATTATTGTAGTGATGATTTCATGATGTATCCTCATGTCAAAACTGATAAAATGTGTACACTTTAAATATGTGCCATTTATTGTATTTTAATTACACCTCAATTAAGTTGGTGGAAAAAATCTTATTGATCAAGCCTACTTCAAGGTTCCCTTTACACAAATAATTAAAAAAGAAAATATAAGCAAGTATATTACTTTCTTATTAAATCAGAAATAATGATCCCAGGAATTTCAGGTACTAAACAAGATAAGTAATGGGAAAATCTTCCGGTTTATACCCTTAAAGGAGGTTTACTTTATTTTGGTATTGCGTTTCCTCAGCGCTTACTGAAAGATATCAGAGCTTAGAAAGAGTGGGTCAATCCACAAGTAATATAGCCCAGTTAGAAGTGCTTCAGTGCTTTAATTTTCTCTTCTTAAATGTTGTGAAATGGATGCTGTATCAACTATGGCTTAAATGGACATGTAGGAAACAGCTTCACAGCTTCACCTGAAGCTTCTCGGCATTCTAACAAATAAATATACAATCTGCAGAATACTTGGCATGCAAACTCATTCAGAACAAGAAATAACTGTAAAAGTGTCTAAAAGGAAATGCAGAGGTAGTCCCCAATTTACGACTGGGTTCCATTCACACGACTCCATCATAAGTCGGCTCTGATGTAAGCTGAATACCTCATTTTTTTCTTTTAGTTTTCATTACTATTGCCTTTTATGATCAGTGTCTTCATAAATACGGCAGTGTTTTGAACAGTAAGTCATAAAACTGAGCATCTGCGCATGAACATCTGAGAATAAAAACATCAGCAAATTACAGGCTGCAACACTGTATGTAGTACACATTACTGACAATAAGGATGGTGGTAAGTGCTCTTCGTCTTAATTCGGATGCGTCCTAAGTTGGGGTCTATCTGTATAGTATTCTTCTATAAACTGTAAACCTCACCTACAGTCTGTCTGCTAATTTCTGGACCCCAGTACCTAGCAGAGAGGAGGCACTCAAATACTGTATTCACCAGGTTTATTTCAGACAGGCTAAGATGACAGGTCAGACTGCTGAAAATTTACTGTTAGTTCCAAGTACTACAACTATCTAGTCTATCACTTCTCAAAGCTGAGATATGTACCAAAGGGGAAAAAAAAATAAGGTCCCATCCCTACCCACTAAAACAAATACAAAACTTTGCTGCTTTGCTTATGGCCTTTATTTAACTACAAAACAAAAATTAATTTACAAATCAAATACACAAAACTACAAAATCACAAACAATTTAAAATTAACTTCACAGATGATAACATTCTATGGAAATTAAAATGCTTCTCAAAGTGAATATGGTATTTACTGCTTTGATGCTGGTTTTGTTTTTTGTTTAGTTTGTTTTTAAGGTCAGCATATTTATATGACTATGGTCCATATGATACTTCTGCTCTGCACTTATTACCTGGGTGACATTGGGCAAGTTAACTAACCTCTCAATCCCTCGGTTTCCTTATCTATAAAATAGACATTACCATATTTGCCATAATAATAGCTAACAAAAATAGTGTTTTAAATGCTTTATCTATACTAACTCATTTCATCCTCACAACGAGGTTATTAAGTGGGTACTATTATTATTACCATTTTTCAGTTGGAAAACGTCAGAAAAAATAACTTACTTGAGGCCATGTCATCAGTAAATGACTGACATAGGATTCCAAGTCAGATCTTCATGGTTAACCACTACTGCATGGTGTCTCTCATAACATTGTAGCTTAAAAATAAGTCCTTGCTCATCAAGATTAAATCATTAATACATGCCAAGTTCTTGGAATTACGTCTGGCTCATAACAACATTCAATAAATGCTGGCTACAGTTGTTATTTTCTGATATCTCCCATCACTTTTTCAGAGTGCAGTGATGTCACGTGGGCCTTCACTTGACAAGAATGCACCACATACCAAGTCCCCATCAGTTCTTCTCTCATCAGTCTGGGCCAATAAGTGGTGAAACAGTTTGCATACTCATACACCAACTTGCTAGAGTAGATTTGGGCCCAGGAATATCTCCAGAATAAATTCATATTAATTCTATTTTATATAATGTTCAAAACTAAAAAACTAGTGGACACCTAAGAATACACCCAAGGGTCTTCCCCACCCCATTCAGAGACCCAAATTATAGAGCTGTTCATTTGTTTACACTTTTGAGAGGACATGTGAAGAGAGCCCTGTGACTGGTTTAAAAACAGAACGTTTTGTGCCCAGCACAGTACCTGGCACACAGTTAGGACTCACATGTTTGCTGGATTGAATTTCCCAGCCAACAAAGGCAGGGAGAAATTACCCAGGACAGGCAGAAGAGAAAGACTGTAAAGCCAAATGGGTCAGCGGGAGCCATGCAGTGCAAACAATAAAAACATCAACCCAAATTAGGCAAAGAACACTTGTCATGACTATAGTGTGATTGACTTAGCCAGAACTGAGACCACATGGGGTGGGCTCAGCTCATCAACATCTGTTGAGTTCAAATCCTTTTTTTTTTCTTTACATTTAGGATTTCTTTGTATGTACGAAGAATAAATCTGCCTTACTTTCTAGGAGTCCACAATTGAGCCTGCCCGCTTACCCACAACATAAAAAGAAGCCTGGGAACTGTGGAAGCCTTATGTGGCAGTGACTGGCTTCTCTGCCATTCCAGGGCAGATGTGGCTATCTTCTCCTTGAGTTTAAAACTACCAACTACCTATCCCCGCAGTCCCACGCATCCCCATCCCATCATCGTGACGGTGCAACAACTACGCAGCCACGCTCATGTCACCTGTCACGTAACGGGTCTCCAAGCAACTCATCTGGGATGTCCCCTCGGGGACTCCGGGGAAAACATGGCTTCCGCCTTCTAACTAACCGGCTGGTCTGGGTCTACTTGTCCGCAGGGCCTGGTACTCCCTCCCTAGGATCTGGAGCCGAGGGAGTGGGACATGTGTTGGATGTAAGGCAAAGCTCAGACGAGCTCAATTAGAAGATAGCAACGGTGCTACGTGGGCGGAGGAATGTGGAGGCCTCTCCACCCTTCTTGCTTCTCTGCGGGTTTCTGCGGCGGCCGGGATCTTCTGGAAGGAAGCCAGGGATGCCCTAGAAGCGGAAGCCTCAATAAGGCAAATTACAGGCCTTGTTCTGTGCCTTATAAAGAAACCCTCCGTGGACAAGCTCCATCCACTCCCAAGCGCGAGCGGGGACCCGCAAGAGATCTAGATCTTTCCGCCACCGGAAGTCTCAATGGCCCCTTACACATCCGCCCAAGAACCTAAAACCCCGAGGCTACTGTTGCCAAGAGGGACCATGGTAAAAATCACCTGATGAGTTTTGAAAAATGCACACCCTGGGGCCCACATTCTGGGGACGCTCATTATAATCTGAGGTGGAGCCCAGAAATCTGCTGGTTCCAAAAGCTGATTTAGAGCACGAGCCTCGGCAACCACCGCTCGCGTCCCAGCAATGCTTCTCCCTTTCCACCTCTCCGCCCACGCATCCCGTCCCAGACCGATCGGAGAAATGCTACTTCCCAGAACAAGGCTGTCAACCTCGCAGAACAGCATCCAAGGGTCCACTGGCAAAGGGCGCTTCCTGGGCACCGTCACGCCTCCTGGCCAGGCTGGATGTGCACCCGTCGCAGCCTAGCAGCCATACCTTTCCTGATGACTTCCAGCAGCTCCTTTTCCTCCTGGGTCAGCTCGCCTTTCATTATGTGAACCATTGCTTCCGCCAGCTTGAAAGTTATTCTGTTTCTTTGGGAATATTAAAAAGAAACGCCGTGTCTGTGTTAGGAATGACAGCCGCAAAGGGGCAACTTGATACCAGGACACACGGTAGCCGACCACGAAGAGCTGGAATTACCGCCTCGGTCCAGCAGGCTGCCTACAGTAGGCGAGCTCGGCGAGCCGGACCGGCAGTGTCTGCAGGCCCAGCTACAATCACCACCCCTCGATCTTCATTGGTCAGAGCAGGAGGAGGAGCTGCAGGCAGTGGCAGCGGAGGCTCCCATTGGACCAACCTTGGCAGGAAAAACCAAAGAAGAAAATCGGAGGGGGGGATTTAAATTCCTCTTACACGTTCCCCACCTGCATCCCGACCGCTTTAGATATTTGCGGCAATGAAATATTTAAAGTTCCCTTTCTGGTAGTTTTTTGTTTGGCGATGGCTTCTTGGGTCGGGCAGAGGCCCCCGGCCCTCGCGACACCCCCTGAGGATCCCCGGGAGTGACGCGGCCTGGGCTGGGGACGGGCTGGGAGGCCGGGGCGGTGCGAGAGGCGGGGCTGCGTCGGGCTCAGTGTGTCGGTGTCAATGTGTCTGTCCTTCACTCCTCCATTGTCTGCCGTCGCCACTGCCGCCGCCTCCGCTGCCGGAATCGTCGCAGCCTCCAGCCTTGCGCGTCGCCGATACCTCCTTGGACAGGTAAGAGCGACTCAGGTGGGGCAGGGGGAGCGGGAAGGGCTGCTGGAGTCACGGCTGCAGCCCCTCCGGGGGCTTCCACCCGGGCTGGAGGTGGCCGGGAGGAAGCATGTGCCTACTGGGACGCCTCCTGCGGCTCTCCGTGGGGAAACTTACCCTCGAATATCACCACCGCGTATTCTGTTCATCAGTGCCCCAGGATGGAGACCTTCCACTCACCACGTTTGGCCACCCCGGGAGACCCCGGGACCATGAACTGGCTGGGGCCAACCATGAGGTGAAGTGGCGAGTGTGCATCATCTTGTGCGTGGTACCGCCAGATGCGGCTCCTGGGGAGGCCGGGGCTGGGGCTCTGGGCTAGGGGTGGGGAGGAGAGTTCCCCACTACGAGCGAGGTGAGCCCAGGAGGTTAGACTCGGGAGAGTGTACTTCTCTTTTGGCAAGACTCTCCCTCCGCGCTACTTGTCATCTCCTCTCTTGCTTCTCTGGAAGCTGTAGATGAAGACCTGATCTGGTTGCCCTATAGAGCCTGTTAAGGCTATTTGGAAGCAATTTACACTTGCACTAATACATCGTTTATGAGAGAGAGTCTTGGGGAGGAGGAAGGAAGGGCCTCCTCACTTTGCCTAGAGTTCCCAGCGTCTTTGTAACTCAGATCTTCAGATTTATGGAAACGGGGGGGCGGGGATCAAACTAGTGTTGCTGTTTATATATAGCCTCAGATTAGGCTTTTAATCCAACCTTCATTGAAGTGTGATATGCAGCCTCGAGCTTCGACCGTAGGTAGATAGGGGGTAAATACAAGTGTGTGCCCTCCTGTGGCTCAGAAACAAGATTTGTTTGCTACATTATGAAGTGTGTCATTCCTCCAGAGCGCGCATCCGTTACATATCTACAGCAATAATGATAGCTTCTTTAGAAATTAATGTTTATGTGTTACTGTTGTTTCTCTACAGACTAGTTTGATGTTTCTCTCAAGACCCATCTGCTTCAATGAGAAATATTTGAATAATTATGTCGATGGGTTTTGTTAAGCATCCCCAGGATACTCTTTCTCCCCATAGTGCTATATGAAGTGAGATGAATTTTCCTCTGGCCTTATGCCTTCATTTTACTTGAAGCATTTACTAACACTTCTGAAAATCTGGGAAGATGCTCGTCTTTATTTCCTGCCTTTAATAAAAATCTTTCCTAAACTCCAGCTGTTTTTTTTTTTCCTGAAAGCTCATCTTAAGAGGGTAGGGCAGATCTGAGTGGAGACATCTCACTTGAAAATGGCCTGAAATTATTCATCGTAATGTATAACAAAGAAACTTTTGTTTTAACTGTGTTTCGTGATGTGGCTGTTTAAACAACAACAAGTAGTAAGGCTGTGGAGAGTGATATTTTGTAACACTTAAAATGCTGTTATTGCCACAGTTACAACTGGTTTATAGCATAGTGTCATGTAGGGAAACCCAGGAAGCTAAGTAAAAGCATGAGGAGTAAGTAACCTCCCCTGACATGTGACTTGACATTTTACCAGCAGATACATGGGCAAAATTAGGTACTTCATTGCCCGTATTTCCATCTCTTGTGCCAAATTTTGGCTTTGATTACTTGAAGGTCACACCTGTTTGTCTTACTGGCATTGCCAGTTCTTCAAGGATAGCAATTTATTATCTATTTTCTTGGTGCCTCCTCGTAGCTTGCTGGAATTTAGTCCTCTGTGAATACATGACCTCAGTCAATTTAGATTCAATGTCATTTAAAGAAAAAGAAAAACTAACACCTACCTACAAATGCAGATACATCGTATGTTCAGTTTAAATTTCTAGAAACAGATACGTAATGGATAGTGCTTATCAGATGGATTACATTAATCATTTTGTACAATGTAAATATTTAATGTAAGAATAAGGTTAGCTAATGAGTGTACATTTGATTAGGGCAAGAAGCTTTTCTTGTACTTAGAATGTATTCACATCCAAGAAGTTTTACTGCTAACAAAATAGCTACTGCATGTTGAGTATTTAGTCTGTGCCAGATATTTGACTAGATGCTTTGCATAGGATTATTTTAACTGTTGTTATAACAACCCAGAATTAGCCAATTTTATCCCCATTTCTGCAGCTACGAGGACAGAAACTAAAGAAAGTAATTAATTTGCCAACAGCCTTTACAGTTAGGAAGTGTCAAAGTCAGAACTGAAACCTAGCTCTGTTTCTAAAAGCTTTTCTCTTTTCACTGTCTGCTTACATGCCTTGCAGTAAGGGGGGAGTCATATATTCTTTTGACTATCTAATAGGTAATACATTAACATGGTTCAACATACCAGAAGGAGCCCTGGTGGCTTAATGGTTAAGCGCTAGGCTGCTAACCGAAAGTTCAGCAGTTTAAACTCGCTAGGTCAGTAGCCACTCCATGGGAGAAAGATGTGACAGTCTGTTTCCATACAGATTTACAGATTTGGAAACCCTGTGGGGCAGTTCTACCCTGTCTGAGTCGGAATCAACTCAATGGCAACAGGTTTAGTTTTTGGTAACATGCCAGAAGTACCAAAGTTAAGTCTCCTCCTGCCTCTTTCCTCAGGCCCCTCTCCATGCTCCACAACCGGTGGTGTCTATTCCTCTCATATCCTTCCAAAGATATTTTATGTGTTTATAGCTTACCTGTATATTTCCACCTTTTTTTGAAAATAGAAATGGGAGCCTATTGACGTACTGTTCCATACTTAGCGATAGAATGTATAGGTTGATTTAGTGTCTCTTCTCTTACCTTCTTCACCTGTTTAAAAATAATGATTTCTGAAATGTCTGAAATTTTCTTATATGAGTCCCATCATTTGTTTTTTTCTATTTCTGCCTTAGGCCTCTCCTGGCTTATTGCAGAGGATTCCTAAGTCACCTGCTTCGCTCTCACTTTTACCAATCAGTTTAATTCAAGAAACTATCAATCAGGTCAGTAAACACTGAGACCCATCATCCACAGAGGACGAGACTTATACCCTGGGAAGACAGAACTAACTCACTTAAATTGAGACCCAAGTCTGACCTGGCCCCAGCCTGCATTTCCAGTTGGCCAGCCCCTCCCACAGACTCTGCTCTAACTTCACCACACTGCTAGTTATCTAACATGCCAGTAATTTCCACCCCTTTGTTCCTGCTTTTCTCTTCCTGGAATGCCTTCCCTTCCCTCCTCACTGATTCTCCTCTTTCCAGAACTGTTGAACTGTTCAACTTTTAAGACACTACTTAAATACAACCTCTTTCTCCGGCTTTCATGATCACCTCCTTTTTCCCTCCTCCACCCCATTCAGTGATGGGAGTATAGACACCAGTAAACCCGTGTATATGTCCCTCAGGAAGTGGGAGTAGGTAAAATCTTTACACACGGGCACTGTTAATTTGTAACATAGCTGCTGGTGTCAATACTGGTGTCTTCTATTCTCTCCTAAGACTACAATGGTGGTTCAGTGGTAGAAGACCCCATTTCAGTTCACAGCTAGTGTACCTCGAGCATAGCCACCACTTGTCTGCAGTGGAGGCTTGTGTGTTGCTGTGATGTTGAACAGGTTTCAGCAGAGCTTCTGAGTCTAAGATAGACTTTAAAGGCCTGACAATCTACTTTTGAAAATCAGCCAGTGAAAACCCTATGGATCACAGCAGTCGGATCCCATGGTGCATAGGGTTGCCATCAGTCAGGGGCCAACTTGATGGCATCTAACAAAAACAACAATTCTATGTTCCCATGGCCTCTTACCCTCATTCTCCCCAGTTAACATCATTGCTTATTTACCTGAGTCCCCATGAAAATACCTAACCTGTTATGGTTATTAGTAGAAGGAGTCGTCCCTGGGTGATGCAGATGGTTAGGCACTGGACTACTAACTGAAACATTCGTGGTTCAGATCCACCCAGAGGTATACCAGAAGACACACTTTGTAATCTGTTTCCAAAAGGTCACAGCCCTGAAACCCCTATGGAGCAGTTCTGCTTTGCACACATGGGGTTGCCATGAGTTATAATGGACTCGATGGCAACAAACAGCAAGTGATAGTAGTAATATCAATCTATTTGACCCCTTCTCCTTCTGGAATATAAATTAGCTGCATATAATCTACCTTTATTTCTCAAGAATGTAACCCAGTGTCTTTTACCTACTGTATGCTCAGAACATGCTGAGTTGAATTCAGTTTTATCTCCAAGTTATTTCAGGTGGATTTGTTTCCCTACATGACTAATCCTCCCTGACAATGTGATGTGATGTGGCACTAAGCACAAACAACCATAACCAAGAGCAGAAGGTCTTAAAAACGCTTGAGTCTCAAGCATTTTGACATTCCGTTGAATGCAATTAACTAAGTAAAAAATGTTTACATGCACACATACAAATTTGGCATACCATTCCTGGAGTCTCCCATTAAAGTCACTGACCTACAGCTCCCTGCTTTAAGAGAATGCTGTTTTTATTGCAGGGATATAATGTATTATGAGGATTATATCTTTCGGAGT